ATTTTGCGATGTTTACCGGAAGACAGATAGTCGGGTAAAGAGAATCAGCAATTAATTGACGTCGTTCCCATGACGTCGTATATGTTACTCGGGGTTTGCCATACGCTCGTTAGTCCTCTACTGAAGTCATCACCGGCACAGCAACCGAGCGGGACCAGCATCGATTGCAATATGAGTGGCGGTTTTGCTGAGCTCCTCCTTTGGCTCATTTCGGCTATTTGTTGAGCCTCGAAAGAGCCCAACAGACTTTTTTCAAGTACCCCCAGGGTTCGTCTTCTCTGAGAATTGCTGTTTGCATTGCGATATTCTATTCCTCTGACGGGGACTAACTGTTCATGGAACCAGTCATTATTCCCCAATTGGGGTCAAGGGTAGTAGTAAGGGCACTCCTATACAAATTACGACCCATGAAATGGAATTCATTCCGTGATGTAATGGCTTCCGCCTTTCCCACCAGTCAAAGCGCGGAAATGGAAGAAATCGAAGGGAGGAAGAGTTTAGTACTTTTCATGAATTTTTTTTGCTTATAGGTTCCTGATCAAAAAAGAACTTCCCCGGTAGATCTCTGATCCTCATGAAGGTATTTGGACGCAACCACCTACGCAAGTATTCCAACGACTCATGAATATACCAAGTTATACGTCCCGGATAGTCACCCGTCCAGAGCATCTTGGTATTCCATCACTCAGCACCACAGATGGTTGGTCATCAAATCCCGATAGCTATTTGCTCTGGCTTACTAAGCCTTCCATCCCTTCAGATTCGGTTAACTTTTACTGCTACTCTATGGATAGCACTGGCTTGTACCTTAGGTGACCAAGTACCTTACAAATGCCGACACAATTTCGCCTCAAACTCAAATGCGTGGGCGTATCCCGGAGAGTTTCACGATGAGCGTCGAAAAACCTGGCCATTCGCCTTTTATGAACACCCTTCAGACACATCGTTCCCACTCCAGCTCCTAGAGAGATTAAATACTCTCAGGATATAAACTGCAGCTTATCCCGGCCCAGTCGATGCTGAACGCTTGCGATGTTGTCGTCCAGACTAATCCACAGCAATTAACCAGCTCTCCAGGAACGGAGGAAGCTTTGTCGGATGTTGAACAATGCAAGTCAGTCAGGCGAGCCTTGAAAGCACTCAACGTTGCAGCACCTCTGATGGTTCAGGGTCTAATAACAAATCCAATATTCATACTGTTGTAACAACCCATACCTACTATCCACTATAATTTAAAATATTGAAGTACCTAATCGCACTCGAATTTTGAAAATTTGGTTATAAATATAACATTTATACATCTATCTACAACGACATCTACCAAATAGCATAATACTACCATGTACCTATTTCTCTATCCATCTATCCATCGAGTCGAGTAAATCAAAATGCAATATTTATAATGATATAGCTATATCTAATAATGATAATAATGTAAAGAGATATCTAATGATAAAACCTGGATGGAGACAATTATAATGACTACACATCTGTATATGTTAATAACTAGCTACCTATGCACGTATATGCATCCAGAGGCAGATGAACGAAGGATAAAGCTCAAGTCCTTTATCCTAATCAATCCCTTTTTTGAGATGCGCCCTGCCTTTCGCTTTCATTCAGCATCGTAGTGACCTATTGAATGCGTGAAAGGACTATCACGATGACTATCGGTTGCCAGCCAATGCAGAAGTCACTGCTTTTATCCTCCCAGACAGTTCTAGTACCATTTCACCTACCCCGAGACTGGAAAGCTTAAGGGCCTGAGGGAATGACGGAATTCGACCCCCTAATCGTTCATGTACAATAGTTCGCCATTTGCCACTACACCACCACCGCCAGATAGACGTAAATCATAAATAACTACTCGCCTTTTTTCTCCTTTTTGGCTTTCCCCAAATCCCTATTGTTTTTCGAGCTCTTTCAAAAAACAATAACTTTTGATTCTTCCAATCTTGATGATCCAACTTCGATGTGCTGATCACTTTTTCGGTCTGTTCAAACAAAAAACGATGTTCCTCTCGTTCCTCTTACTTCGTTTCTCTAATTTCGTCCTACTTGCAACGTCACCGATTCTGGGAATCTTTTCCCTCTATGACAATTTAGTTCCCCACCGAAAGGTTTTCCTCTCATTTAGCCGTTATTATCTTGAAATAATCGATGAAAGTACATCTGGGACTCGTCCTGAGAAGTACTTTCATCGATTTCTCTGCGCCAGGGAGAGTAATTCCTTTGCCCCACAGTAATCCCGTAATAAGCCCTTATCTTTTCTCTCAGATTCTAGGAATATGCCCTTCAGATTCTTTCAATTTATAGGCACTTAGCCTTGTTTTTAATCGCTGCTTTTTTTGGTTTTTTCATCTTCTCTGTATGAATTAATGAGTATGGAGGCATAAGTGCACTTTTGATATATATCAGGATCCCAAACGAGCTTCCCAAGCATATATGGGGGTGATCTATTGCATTCCATTTTCCCATGCGTTTTATTTTTGAAGATTGTTCAAAACAGATCTCAGCATTGCGCGAGGAATTCCTCCTGGAATTGGAGACGAACGCGTGTGTTGGCTCAAGGAAATAAACAGATTTATAAACAAGATAAAGTATTTGGGGCTTTCCGTCAATTATAAACAAGCCATACATACGGAATTTCTTCAAAGGTATCAAATGACATTTGGATTTGCTTGTATAAACATTTGCGGTGCTATTTTGGGGTCATCCCGTCAATTTTAATCTAGACAGGGACTGTACCAATAAACCGATTCTGGACGGCTTTCTTGGTCCGGTCTGATCTCATTATCAGCTCCCTATCATCGTCAAGATGCTCGGCAATCACTGATACTTCTCTTTATCGAAAAGGAAGGCGGAGGTGGTGTAGTGGCAAGTGGCGCACTATATCACACGCACGGTCGGGGGTTCGAAACCCGGATCGATGCCCGCCTGGGCCAACTAAGCCTTCCATCCCTCCGAGGTCGGTGAATGTACCAGACTCGTCTGGGAGGATAAAAGTACTGACTTGTACATCGGCTGGTCACCGCAAGTCATTGTATAGGCCATATACGCACTCATTACGCCACTACGATTCTGAATGGAAGTCGCGTTCGGGGGCGCATCCCTCAGACGGGATTGATCAACGTCAAAAACTTTATTCTCTATCCTATTGAAAAGGAAAATCGTGAAAATTAGAAAAAAAAATTAGAGCTAAGCTAAATTTTCCATGAAGGGTAAGATATTAATGTAATATGTTCAAGCAAACCCTAATCTCCATTCGACTTAATACTCTCCCATACGATTCATGAATTTTCAAAAAAATTCTGCATGCTCTCGCTTTTCAGGGCTTATCCAGAATCCCAATCAGTATGCGTGCAAATGGGGGTCGGAATAGGAACCTATTCTCTGGCAAATGTGAAAAACGGAAAACCTTCACCGGTTTAGGCCGCTAAGGGCTCGAAAAGATAAATAAATCTTGCGCCTCATCTAGTTTATATTACAAATTACTTACATGAAGTTGATTTTTATCCGCAAGTTGGCTTACCAATTATGAGAAGCACTACATTAGCAATAATAATGTTGGTTGCTTTATTGATAAAAGACTGATTGTGAGGACAAAGTCTCTGGGGTTCATCAATCCCACTTTGGAATGCGCCCCGCAACAAACTTCCTTTAAGAACCTTAGTAGTGTATCGAACGTGTATTCGGTACAATGATTTGCGGTGGGCAGTCGATGTAGACGACAGTGCTTTATGTTCCCACAGGAATCTGGTATGTACCAGGAAAATAGAAGGCTCAGTTGGCCGTACGAATATCGATGGGGGATTCGATCCCCGGACCATGGGTTCTGATAGTGCGTGACTTGTCATCTCTACACCACCTTCGTCCGAACACCCCATTGTTACAACCTATTTGTTCACTCAATTATATGTGTATTCACATGAAATCCCCTTTTGTTATTTACCTTGCACGATTTTTTCCGACTGCACCTAGGACTATTTATTCTAAAGAAGGAAATCAGGCCAAAGGCACCTTGAGTTACTTTATTCCTATCACTCCCAGTCAAAACCTTAGTAATCTATCTAAGCCGTTATTTGAAGGGGCGTAAAAACGATTTTTTAGCGAGTAAATAATATGTGGTACTTCGAAAACTGAGAACTTTCTAAACGTGTGATTAATATGAGGTTTGAAAAAAATTTTTAAAAAATTCTCAGGCATATCCCACAGATATCCATATCTTTACTCTTGCTGTCACTGAATAGCCACCAATAAGGCTTCCTGGCTAATGAATCCCATGGGAAACAGGAGTGAATACGGACTAATAGGCAGTGAAGTAGGAGTAGGAGCATTCCACTACTTCACTGCTGTTCATCCGTGGTAAACCTGCTTTGCCTGACCGATAGGTATGATCAAAACCAATTTCTCCTCTCTTGTCCCACTCATGCCCTAAATTGTCTACCGCGTCCTTGTGTCTCCTAAGCAACTAGTCAGCAAAATTATTTCCACCTCGAGGACCTGGCATCATTACTTTATATCAGTCGTCAGGACGCTAGTGGCGCCGCTACGATCTTATCATGCCTAGGTGATCGAATCCTGCTTTGCTAACCTTACACTTTCAATCTACGAAATCTCCCAGACCCATGACACTCCCAAAAAAGAGCCCTGGAACAGCTCGCTAAAAGGGAACGAGAGCCGCAAACTGCTTCCTATTTGAACAGAAAATATGAATATCCCCCAAACAGGGCCTGTCTTTTCATTTCAGGAAGTTCGTTAAGCCTATTTCCATTATTCACCCATTCACCGATTCTTCTATTTTTATTTCAATCAAAAATTACCCTCTCATTCGTTCGTGTAGTAGGCATTAATAAGTAATGAATGATATGTTGGCAAAAACATTTATGACTGACAGGAAGGAATAGCTTTTAGCGAGCTGTTCGGTCAAGGTCCGATTCGACTCATTCGCTTTTCAAAGCTCGCTCGTTTCTTATTGAAGCCGAAAATGTTCCAGAATAATGGCTGTCTTCAAGAAATTGAAAAAGAGCAAGGATAAAGGAGCTCCGTTACCCGAACCAGAACCAGTCAAACAACTTGACAAACGAGTAGGAATGGAGAACTATAGGTTAGTTCAAGTGTGCCACGTCTTTAGTGTTCGGAAATAGTTCCTGAGTCCTGGATCATTCAATCAGTCCCAGCTGCTGTATAGACATGATAGCCCTGAGGCTGAAGTTCCGAGGTAGAGGCCAATAGCCTTCAACTGATTCTTTTTAGTTAATCTACCCAGGCGTCGATCCAGTTAAGGTGTGAAGCTAGGCGACTAGCCGTCGTATCTTTTAATCGGTTTTACACGGTCACATGCTTGCTTCGCTTATTTCCCTGATCCCGGCTGTTTGGCTCAGATTTAACGAAGAATAAGCCACGTGAGAATATGACGGCGCTGTCACAAACTCAAAGACCATCGCCTACAATTTAGTATCCTGGAATAGAGCTATGTGTAGGCGTCGTAAATGGGATCAAGCTAAGTAAATGCATGATTAATAGGGTTCATAAGGGGTTGAATGACCGGAATTTCTATCGAATCATTAAACCTCATATATCCATGCTCACATTGGGATCAATACTTGCTGAATCCCCACATGGCTGGCATGCAGAAAGGAACGTGATCGCCTTCGAATCCGAGTGTTTACGTGGGCGAATGCAACTAGGAATTGGATAATTGAAGGCGCCCAATCCGGCGTTGTTTACTTCGTGCTCACTGGCCCCAATCCAACCTCTGGTCCTATCTATGCATTTTTAAGGGCTTGAGGGCGACGAGAGAGAGTCCCGAACAGGTTCATGTGTATGTTGAGAAACCTTCGAGTAAAGGTCGGTCTTACCTCCTTGTAAGAAGGAGCATTAATCGGAGTTCTAACTGTGCTCATCAATTAATAATTCTGGGAAAGAAGCGCAATTGTGAAGCCTTTCTTCAGGAAAAGGTCGTGGGGGCTCTTTACTTTCCCCCTCTCCGGGCCAAATTTTTGGTTTTCGTAATTTTCAGCACCATTCCACGAGTCCATGCTTGACCTTAATCCGTGAGGTGAAGGTTATTCCTAGTGCCAAGACAACTAACAATGAGACATGCCAGACCATTCAGCCGAAAATCGCCGTATGCAGTGAATAGTTCACGAGTCCCTTTACACACTCTATTCATACGCTTCACTACACCCGAAGGATGGCTGAATCACTGATGAGCTGAAGAGGACAATGCCATGAGCAACCATTCACGCGCTTGATTGGGAATCAAAGATGGAAAAGCGTCTGTACCCCGACTATAAGAAATGCTTACTCATTACTCTGCCGATATAATTTTTCGTTCCATCCATCATGAATAACTGAACTGATTCATTTTCAGGGATTTTTTCACTTTGAAAAACTATTGGAAAGCTGTCGATCGAAAGCGGCAAGATTCAGGGCAAATGTTTTTCAGCAGGTTAGCTAACTAGTGATTTCTAAAGCCTCCTTTAGACCAACTAATTCAAACATTTTTAAGCTAACTAATCGTGACAAACTGAAAATTATCAAAAAAANAAAAAAATACTAATGCTTAATACTAGCGCCTACAAGAGTCCAAGGGAATATTTAACTCTACTTTTCTTATCACTACTGTTTTTCTAGCAACTCTAATACTACTTTCATGTACTATTCACGATTTACAGTAGAATCGTACACTGCTGGGTCGCACAAATTTCTTTTAATAGAACCGCTTTCACGACGTCGACTTTTCAAACGAAACGTTCTCCTCAATCGCTTAAAATCGTCGGGGGCGGCATTTCCTTCAACGGTTCCATCAGCTTTGACGTCCTTGCTCGTACAATCGAACAACAGGGGACAAATGAGACTTCTTTGACAGCAGGCATAAGATATGTAATAATCTCATAGTCCACAGAAAGGGACGAGAGGCATGAGTTCAATCGGAAGGATCATCCGTTCATTTCGGTCAATCAGCTCGGGATAGTGCACCCGCAAGTTTTTGTAGCACTATTGGCGCTTTCATAAGCAGGGGCTTTGCAATTCGATACTAAAATCCCATCCGATGATCGATTCTTCTAAAGCTTCAATTCTTCTATCTGCTGGAGGTCACGAAAGACATCTTGCCCGTCTCGTCAATATATGTATGTATGTTTCGACAGGGAACGAACATCAAAATTGCGAAGCTGGTCTTCCCTGTGCTCAGTCTCTCTTCCTTCCATAGGGGTATATGATGCAGTCATCCGTACTCCGTGCACGGTCATAAAGCCTATTGCAAATCAGCTAGCGTCTAATATTGTTTCTTGGGATGTTCATTAAGGCAACATCATTGGCTAAATCCGCTCATGCATTGCCAAAAAGCTGCGCTAACGCTAACTTCATCTGATATGAGGATATGGGGATATGCCTGCAGCTATGCAACATATTTTTACATTTCCCGAATAGTGTCTTTTGAAAGCGGAGGTCGTGTAGTGGCAAATGGCCACTTCATAGAGACATGGTCATAGGTTCAAGTCCCAGATCGTTAACCGCCTGGTCCGTGCTCAAGCCATCCATCCCTTCGGGGTAGGTTAATTGAAAAACTGGTCTGGGAGGACAAAAGCACTGGCTTGTACATCGGCTGGCCACCGCAAGTCATTGTGTAGGCCGCATACGCACTCATTACGCCACTACGATTCTGAGTGGAAGTCGACTGCAGGGGCGCATCCCTTAGATGGGATTGACCAACGCCCTAGGACTTATTCTTTATTCTTTATCCTAGCACAGTACACAATGATCATCTCATCATTTGTTTGTTTATTTATTTATTCATTTATTTATCATTCCACTAGTGTGCACCAACGGGCGTGCAGCAACTTGTGTTAGTGTAGCTCAACCAAAACTCACGAGTATTGCCAAAATCTCCCTCCATGAGGTTTTCAACGGATTCTATCCAAATAACTTTTCAGATATCTAAACCAGAACCCAAGCAACCAAAGCCTCTATCCGAAGCTGAAAAATGTTGACGCTGCCACAGTGAACATGAGTTGTAGTGATACGGGTTTTGAAACTACGGCTGCCGCTTACTTGAAGGTACGTAAACACTCTAATGAGACTTATTCATGGCGTGAATTCCGAGAAAACCGCATCTACTCCTCTGATAGAGTTTGTAAAACATCAACAGTAGTACAGAGACTATCATACATTTCTCACTGGCAAGTCTAGCCTGAAGGTTCCCTTCGGAGGCGAGTTCATCTACCTCGACAGTTGTAGAAGGCACTGCTAAGGCTGGTATTTTACAACCCTTCGCTTCGACAACGTAGTCTATTTGTTGTTTACACGTGCTCAAAACGATTTCTACCCCTAAAAGTTCAAAAGAACAATCTGAAGACTAGTGTGGTGGGTTCTCAAACCACTACATAGGCCCGGCTGTTGTGCAATTCCGCCTAGATGTCGCGCACCTGGCGCATTCCTCTTCACATTTTTTTAACCCTCGGACTTCGTAACCCGTGTCCCACTCCTTATTCCCCGTTGCAGCGAATCTTTCCGCGGTGCTGTTCGCCTCCTAAATTTTCTTTTGCAGGTGTTTGACGACGTAATATCGGCAGTAGAGGAGAAACCAGCTGATGTACAGACGGCATGCGATCGACTGAAGGCTGTAGGGAAAATGCACCGAACTAAGGTTTGTATTTAAAAGGAATGATAACTAAGAAGTTATCCGCATTTTGAAAAATATCCGCGGACCCAAAGAATTTTTTGGGCTCCCCTTTTGCCTTGCTACATGGTGATGAGCTTCCAGCCAGGAAACTCTTTGAACGCATCCGTAGGCTATCAGTAAGACTTGGCTCATCTCCATAATTACTACTTAGGGAACTACCAAAACGTCTTTGCTTTTTAGTAGTTAGTATGGGCGCAGTGAGGTCACGCTTCTCTTCGTGGCCCTCCTGCCACTGAATGAACGAGGAATGGCGTTGCCAATCCCATGTTCTGGGGTGCACCCACGCATTCGACTCCCATTCAGAGTGCGTATTTGGCTTACACGCTGGGCCAGTGGGGTCAAATGAAATGTAAGAGTTCAAGGTTTCATCTATCAGATTACCCACTAATTACACGACACAGAAGGGTACGGAAGCCTGAACTGTGCAGTCAGGTCCACATTCTGGACTCGATCCTAAAACCGTGTCCGTGATACCACCCCACTTAATCTATTACCTCACCAAGCGGTACGAAAGTCACATATGTACTTGCTCTTACTCCATGAAAAGCATCGTATTGGTTTAAGTCAGGAGGAAGTAAACTGAGGACATTGCTTCGGAATAATCCCGGAAAATTTTCAACTACTGCTCTTTCTCGGTACCCTTTTCTCGGAAATTGCTACCCGGTCTCCTACCCGCTTCAACGGCGACGTTTCGCCTACTGCTTTTGCGATTTATTCATGTCCATGTGAACACTTCCCAAATGGTTTTTTGCTTGCTCTTCCTAATCCGTTGTGAAAGTGTTTATCATCGAATCAGTCCTAGTGGGGTGGACTCTTCCTTCTGGTAGCAGTCTTGCGCTCTAATGAAGAATTGATTCTCCAGATTTTTTAGTGGTACTGAGATCTTGACTGGAATTTGAGGGAAAAGGACCAAAGCTTTCCAGAAGAGTTGGTTACCAATATTCGAATTGAACTTTAAAATTTCGGGTTTTGTTGACTAGGACGTATATCGATCCGATATTTGATCTCCTGAACTTGCATGCAATAACGTACCTCTTCGCGCTGCGCCTAGCACCCCACCACCCTTTTTGGGTTGCATTAGTAATAGTCCATGTTTCCATATGAAAACTAAGTGGATGCAGTAAAGTACACAGTAATAATGATGATACAAGCAGCCCTTTTCAAGAAGGCAATCCAACTTTGTCGAAAGCAGATGAATGACCAATAGAGGCAAAAGAAAAATGAAGAATTCGCCTAATCAAGAAGAGTTTTGTGACTTTCGTCTTTGAATAGATTCGAATTCTTCGAAGAGAATTGAATAGAAGCCCTCACAATTGACTGCATCCAAACTAAAACTCGTAAGCTCTATGCCCCGACTCTTTGGTTCCGGTAAAATAAGTGGAATAAAAACTATCGAAAACTTCAAAAAACAGTTTCTCCAGAAAATTGAAGGTAAAAAAGTACCGGTTCATCGGAGGTTGAAGTTTGATGGAAGAGAAAGACCATGAAAGATATGGAGCTCCCGCTAGACCAGTACGACCGCTATCAATCAGTCGAGTAACTGATTCGTTCCACTGAATCCTTAAAATAAGATAATTGTACGGAGCAACTATGAATCATTGAAAAATAAACAACAATCGCAAAAAAAGTAAACAAGGTGTTGGCAGACAAGGAAGAATCACCTTTGCTGGTAGACGGGATTTAGGAAACGTCAATAAGGCTCGACATTCGACGTACCCCACGGCGGAGATCAAGAAGGCGTGATCGCAGTGATCTGAGCCCAATAAAAATCAAAAAGTAAACAACTTTAGAAAACTCAGAGTAGTAAATAACAATGGCCACCTAGTGATTGATCCTAGATCATTCAACTCAAATCATACAAAGTAATATACAGTTAGTGGACAGAAATCATAAAAGAGACTCGAAAAAAACGTCGAACCGTGGGGATGGTGCAGGTCACATGAAAAATTGATTGATTTTGGGTAGGAAGCTCATCCTGGCCAATCAGCCAATCCCTGGGATCTGGATACCGGGTACAGGAATCCCCGGAGGGATTAATGAAGTGAACTTGAGTATCAGCTGGCTTCTTAGACTTCTGTATGTTAGGTATACGCCTACAGTTTTCTCGACTGGCTGTCAAGTACATGGCGCGTCCTGAAAAGTTTACTCAACCTACTGAGGAACAAGTTTTTTTACTTCGCTATCATGTTATTCAGATTTTTCTAATTGTTTGCTTATAAAAAGATATTATTGACATTTTTATTACCGTATCTTCAAGATCATTTCTTCCTATTTCAGGTTTCATCTATGCAAAGCACTTCTTTTCAAGCAATGGAAGAGCCATTTATGTTTATGGTGAAAGAAATCCTTCAAGATCGTTTCAACGAAAAAGCCGAAGGACTATTCCGAAAGTTCTTCCAATTCTGTCTGAAATATCTGGCCGAAGGCTATAACGGCTAAAATAATCACTTCCTGATGTTCAGTCGTTCAATGTTCATCACTTACGGGAGGTAGCCACCAGCGCTGTTTTCATAGTCCAAATGGCGATTTTTGATTCGAAAAACTTCCATTGGATTCGATATTTCCAAAAGAAATCGAGATCTTTCTGAAAGTTCTTTTGTTAAGCTTATTTTAAACTGAACTATTGGCTGTTTATCACTTGAAATGATGTCCCGATAGAGCTGGAGGCTCAAAAAGAACTCGTGGATTTCTCAAAAGAATAGAGATCCTACGTCCCCTAAATAGGATCTCATCCATAAAGTTGAGACAGTGGAAATCGGCATCGTTATAGCATTTATGGCCGGCTTATTCGCTCCCATTGAGTTTCATGGCTTACTATGCCCCGTCGGATATGATGCCAATTGCCACCATAGAAGTTGAAGCCAGTTGCTTAAATATTAGTCTAAATTCGTTTGGCTAACCCTACCTCTCTACTTATCCCTCAACCATTCCTGATTATGCTATTTTTATGTTCGTATCTATAACGCATTGTCTCCTGAACCTACCGTTAAATGAATACATCGCCGTGACATACACCTTCACGCGCTGCCACTAGGTCGAGGTTTGCTACGGTTCTGGAAAAAGAGCCGGTTCCCGGTCTATCACAGAATTTGCTCTTCTAAGCACATCCCTTCGATACGTAGGATTCCAGGTCTACCACCTGGAGTACTAGTGTATGTTCTGAGGATTTGAATAATTTATACGGGCTCCTACTGTTTTTTCTTTATTTTTAAATAATTGAAACTGCTTACCTTAGGAATTAGGGAATGTGTTTGAAATTGTACTGGTTTTTCAATGTCATTAGCTCATTTCCATTGTCAATCAGTAAATGCATTTGCCACTTAAGGTCAGCTATCTGGCAATACCCCTTTCTGGCCATCGATAAAGGTGGGCGGAGTTCCCCACGTCCTCCTTTTGGGATAAATCTCTTAGCTAAGATTTTTTGTGTGATTAAAATTGGTCACTCTCTTCAAATACACATCTTTCGAACTCCACTCCCATTTCTAATTCTAAAGTTTCGCCATAATGTTACCAGAATTCAATTAATATCAGCTGATATTTACTTCTGTGGCATATAATTTTTAATAGTTTGCCAAAAATAAGTTCTGTTGAGATGAGGAATTTGTGAATGTAATATATAATGTAATTTATGTGTACGTAAGCATGTGCGTATTTTTATGATCTCATTGCTAATCGATTATCTATGTGTTATCATTGTCACATGCGATCGACTGCTTTGTATCAATTCATCCATGTAAAAACTCTGGCATGATCTGTACTTTGATCGATAATCGATTGAAATTCTATCGATCACGTTTCCTTTCTTTTCATTCCTTTCGTTACTATCCACTCTTTTATCAGTGCTGGATGTCTTGATACATTGTTCTCTGGGATGCTCAATTAAATTTTCCTCAGTCTGAGTTGAAAGGCTTTACCAAGAGCAGGCTTTCTACAATTAAACACTTAGATACTTAAGGTCCCATTTTACTCCTACTTCAGCGAAAACACGTCCAAGTTAAGAACTCCTATAAGGAACTCCACAACATAATTAATGAAGAAACCGAGGGAGTGGAGGAATCAAAGTGAAGGCGCGAGAGGGGGGATGCGGGTGCTTAAGGATTCACCTAAATCCTAATGACCTCAAATTTTTGGAGTAGCACTGAAAAGCCGGGCCGGTGGTGTTCCTCTTTCTGCTGCAAAGCGTATAGAGGTCGCCCTTTATTTCGCCATGACGACGCCCACTGCTGAAAGGGAATAACTTAAACGGGAAATACTGGAAGCTGGTCTCCCAAACTCCGAAAAACCAATCCAGCAGACCTGGAGCAACACTTTGCGTAGGGGCTTGCCCACCGAGTGACTCCCCAGTCTTTCAGGTTTTGTTGTGGATGGTCTTGCAGGATGCCTTCTGGGAAGTTTTAAGTTTTAAGTTTCAGTAAAAGGAAAATCGACGAAAAAAACACTCGCAGATCAGCTACTAAATAGCTATGTAAATCGTTTTCTCGATGGGTTATCGATGATATTGCTGAATTTCATGGTCTGATCATTAAATGACATCTCCTTGTCAGATACACCTACATAGATGACACCATTGATTTGCTATCAAGTGGACTTCTGCCAACACACTTTACCGCTTTTACTTACAGAGTTTCTGACCATAAAAAATCCGAAAATCACTTACTTGCGATCTTATAGGTACTTGTGGCGAAAAACGCCGTACTTACCAAGATCTAATAACCATTACTCAATAAAAACCATTTCAAAACTTTATTAAAGATCTAAGAAGAAAATTTCTAAGACACTTTAACAACGTCCTATCAGCACCGATTAGATATGCGTCTTAGGAGTTTCCACTTGGAAAGTGATACCGAATGATTCGAGGTATGAGTAGATCTTGGTTTTGGCGAATGCTGACGCTGTCGTGAAGACTCCACCTCTGAAACTAACCTGTTTACAAACAAACTTTTCATTGAAATCAGCCAATTTATCCATCTCCACACCAATTTTTTTCCATCAGCCTAGAGTATTTGAAGAAAACAATGAAACTCTAGGACACTTACCCTTGAGGAAGATTTTCTCCACGAATAAGAGCCAAAGCCGCTGAAAGAACACATCCACTGGTTGCCATATAACCGGCATCTGGTCCCTTGCATGTCACAACCATCTGAATATTCACTGGTTAACGTTGAATTTATTTATTGCAAAGAATACAAAAGAGAACTCTATAGAAAAGCAAATGGACAACTTGTTTACTTTTGTTTACTAAAGTGCTATCCAGAAACTAGAGAAAGAACGAAGCTCTTTCGCTCCATTCGTAACAGAAGCACAGGGTGAAGAGTAAATGAGAGTTAAAAGTTAGGCGATCCCACAGCACTACTTCTCCTCCATCATTTTTCGTGATGAGTGGCTCAGCACCTGTTTCCCCTTGACTTTACCCGAACGGCTGTTTCTGATGTATAGATGCTGACCAGGCAGAAGTTTATCAAAACTAAGCATTCATTCTTCCATGCGAAAGGGTTCTGCGTGCAACGGCAATTGCGTAATCCAGTTGTCCTACATACAACTCATGAAACCGGAATATTTGCGAAGTTTCGGAAAACCGTTATTTAACGTAATTTAGAGGTAGGTGGCGTCCAATAACACATATATGGTCCTGAGCTGTAATCTCCTATCGATAGTCGCTCAGCCAATGATGCCTTTCATCCCAAGTCAGCCGATTGGTAGCAGACTCGTCTGGGAGGATAAAGCACTGACTTGTACATTGGTAACACCATAAGTCATTGGATAATTCACATTCGCATTCAAGCCGCCACTACGATTCTAAATAAAACTTGAATGCGGGGTGTATCCCAGAAACGGGATTGATTGGTGCTAGAGACTTCATCCTTTGGACTTAATCATCTAGTAAACGTTCAACAGAGAAAAACGACGAGAAGAGCGGGGCGTTTCCAAAATGCCAGAGTTATTGTTTGTGAATACTTTAACTACACTGATGTTATTTTACTTTGTTTTTAAAAGAATAAAGCTTGTTCCTCAAGGTGAACGTAGAAGAAGAGCTATCCTACGAAAAAGCCTAATTAAAATAATATAGATGCCAAAAATCCATGAAATTGTCTAACAAGATCGAAGTACAGACTTCAGAGGAACTAGTTCAGGGAAATTTTAATGAATGACCCAAAAATTATTTTTTGTGAAGCCACCGAGTCAAATACCAAGATTGATGAGGATTTCTTTTCTTGGAGCCCCATTTACGGGAAGCATACTCTTTATGCTTCACACACGTCATTCTCTTTATTAAATTTAGCACCGCCCCTCAAATGCTTTATTATAAGGTTTCTGATGAGCGTATGGACAGATCCAGCTGAAGATCATCAAAATGAGCTTATCCGAACTAAAAAAAAAAGAAACCCTCCGCGAAGGTTCCGCATTGGAGTGACTTCAGTACGACAATCAGCTTAGGAATTGCCTTCAGCGCAAGGAAGAAATATCTCGCCAGAAATCGCAAATATTATAAAATTACAAACCCTCTGGTCTGGCTTGCCGGTGTGCTGTTCATCAAGCGGCTTCCGATCAGAGTATCCATATGCAAAGAACCAATACACGAAGGAAGCTTCATCCATCTGCTGCTTAGTTGGTCCAGCTCTCTAGAAATACCGGAAGATCTATAAAGGTTCTCCCTACAACATCTGTCAAGCAATTACCTTGAACATGCCAAAGCTACAAAGATCCGGGTATGATTGTAAAAACTTCTTTGTGAAATTGATCTGAGCAAGCATGGCGAAAAGAGTCAGCCATATAGCCAACAAAACTGTCCATAACAGGGAACCGATTCGAAGGTATGTCTCCACGTATACCTTGAAAGGGTAATTAGTATATCACAAGAAGTTATTAAAGGAAGAAAAGCAGCTTGAACTCACAGGTCTCTTTTTGTTGACGGTAGCATCGTAATATTGAGAGCGATTTACGATCGACTTATCGGACCCCATAAATGGTACTGCCCATCCATCCAACTCCTTCTCTTGGATGTGCCATACCGTGCCTCTGAATTTCTAAGTTAGCGCTAACGAAGTCCTATTTTGAGGCACACTCTCCATCAGCAGCTCAAATTTACAGTCAATGTAAACAGTCCATACTGATAGAAGCCAGTCATCTCAGACACTACATACACTTTGTTGCTACCTGAACTAGCCGAATACGATAAATTTTACCAGACTAACTGGTTCACTCCCTGCGCGAGTCATCTAACTAACATGTTACCATTTTGGAGTACATAGTCTAATGAAACCCACCGAAAGGTCTTATTCACCTATGTGCTCCAAAACAATCAAAAAGAAAAGAGCTCAGAAGAAAATATAACTGAAGTTCCTGGTGTAAAAGGTTTACTACATTGTTATGATAAATACCTCTTTGGTGGTTTCGCTGCTCCTTTGACGATTTTCTCTGGCATAATAGAACGTCGGATCTTTCCGAGACCATCCTTTGCTGCTTCGCTTATGCCAAGTATCAAGGTCTGATATGTGCCTTCGTTGATCGCGTAGCCCTGAAGAGTTCATCAAACGATTTCCCAAATACTAATGTAATCAATTTGTGAAACCATCAAAATGCTGCTGCTAGACCCTCACATTGAGGTCGCGAAGAAAAAGTTCAAGTAAGCTAATGCACGAGGTAGGACAAAGCCAAGTATTGTCGCACTGTTTGAGGACCACCACTCACGGCACTAGATAAGGGGTAGGCCTTGATGATTTAGTTTGTATAAGCAGAGCGTTACTGGCAGAATCCTAAAGAATGCCTGTCAGATACGCGCCCGAATATTCCTACAGTTTTTATGGGATGACCAAATGCGCGGCCCAACTTTATGTGATTAACCAATACCAATCAATAACTTAGGTTGTTTTTTATACTACTTGAAAATATGGTATCGTACCGATGGTCCACTGTTCATCTGTACGAAAGACTCGATGTGGTTGACATCACCATCAAAGTGTTCCTTCACGAAGTTCACTCCCATATCGCATGGAATCGAATCCCATCCGCATGCTCCTACTACATAAACGCCCTGAATATATAAATAATCAACTAGAACTCTATGGTATGAAAAATTCTGAAATTAGCTAAGATGATTACGCGATGTAAGGGCAACGAGAATCCCTTGCCAGATGTACGTGCTTCGCCAATGCACTAGGAATCGAATTCATAAGAAAGGTATAAAAACACCAAGAAGTTTTACCCATCCTTCGAATATTTATGACAATCGAATGTCCGGGAAAGGTTAATGAGACGAGCAGAAGTCTAGAAGTCTAATAGTTAAGCAGGCCCTACACAAGTAACTGTTTGGAGCAAGTGACTGTTTCGACGCAGCTATGTTTCGGATCAAAGTTGAGTACATGGCGCGATCTGATAGCTTTAACTTGGGTGATTGTGGAATAGTAACCATTCGACTTCATTTCATTCCGTTTGCAATTTTCGGAATGGCAGAAGCCCAGGGAGACTGTCTTAATGACTTCGAAGGGGGTTCAAGACCATATAAAAGCCTTCTTCACTCACTATCTACACCTCAAGTGAAAATGATACTCAACCACCAACCTTTTCTTTAGCCTTCTCTCCATAAAGCATCTGCATCTTTTCAAGGAACTGAAACAACCAAAAATCGTCGAAGGAAAATTTCGTTTCCATAATCGAAATGTCGTACCGCTGGTTCGCCGGAGATGTCTACGTGGCTGGCACCGTTCTCCACGGCCGCTTTCACCACAGCTTCACCATACAGACGGTACTGTAAATGACATCATTTTAAAGGTATTTATCGATCACCATGATATTTGAAAAGTTTTACTTTTAATCCGATACGGAGGACACGGAATAAATAATTTCAGCTTTTTCTGTTTCTGGTAAAAATCGCCAAAATCGGGAAGGACGAGGTTCAAGCATTTCTTTGTTTAATTTTAATGCATTCTTAATTGTTAAACAGAGCTCCTATTTTTTAAACAGAAGTAAATAACGGTTAAAGTCCGGAACGGCTTGGTGCGTGGCGATACATTTAGCTAACAAGAACTTGTAAGAACCGTCGGAACGACTCAGGACCTTTCCTAAACACCCTAAATAGGCCCCCAAGGGTTCGCGACTACTACAGCCCAATCGAAGTTGTATGAGAGCAATCCTGAACAAATTTTTTTTCAGCTGCTCGCTTCAAAATACGATCTTTTAGTATTTCCACACTGCCTACTTACCGGCCCTACCGCATTCAGGATCACTTTGGCCTTCTTGGCCATCTCAGCCAGCGATGCCTCATCAGCTGAGTCAGCGATGATGATCGGCGTCGATTTGAGATCTTTACCTGAAAATAGCACGAATTCAGGGTATATTCTGCTACAACACTATGTGTATAGTCAAATTTCGAAAAAAAAAATCAAACAATAAAAATGTAAATAGCAAATAAATGTTGGGTTGCTCTCAAAGAACAAAAACAACCATGGAAACGCCTCTTAAACATTCCTCTAACTCGCCGATCCTAGTTCCTCTATTTTGATTTCGAGTAGATTCGTGATTATGAGGTGAAGCAGCGATTGAGATGGAAGCAATATCAGTATTACCAGCCGAAGTTGATCAAAATACGCATTTTTGTAATATTTGCAATATTTATTACAAACTTCACTAATTGTAAGATATATCTTTCATTTTCAAGGGCATACCTAACGCTGTAGTCATGGTTCAGCCTTCATTCAATAGGCAAGAACTAAGGATACTTGGAAAAAGTAAAAAGCAAGAAAATCTTCAGTCCAAACTATTGGGAAGGCGAAATTTCAGGGGCCAGATTTAGCTCGAAACTACCTGGAGTACCCCGTCAATTCAGTAATCTGCTCTATGGGAAATTGTATAAAAGCGAAAGCTTGTCTGCTGAACCATTTCAATGTGAAGCTATTCAAAAAATTTTGCCTTTCCTCGAACGAATTCCCACTAAACTGCGCATAACTCCAAAGGAACAGCCTTCTGTGACTGCCAATACTTTTCAACAATCCTGCAGATCTATTTGACAAAATTTCAACTGCTTGTTATTAAAATTTCAACTGCTTGTTGTTCTGAGTTGGTCCCTTTTCTACGATTGGCTTCACAGTCGATGGTCGGCCGTGTGGCTTTGTGGTCTTCGGCCGATCGCTGCGCTCACGATGTCGACTATGACAAAACGTGCAACGGCTCACTTCAATGAGCCCAGAGTCACAGACTACATAATACGTCATACGGAAACCAAGCAACGTGAAAAAAAGGCCAAAAGTGACTGAAAAGATCAACAAGAGAGGATACCGATGGAAAATGGAAAAGCGACTATACAGCCTTTATATTCCATCTTTCAATCGCTAACAGCTAAAAAGATAAAGTTAGGGCGGATGTGGTGTAGTGGTCGCTAACAAATATTCCTTTTTTTCCTAAGGCAGATGGAAAAGATAAATAAGCATTACGATCTTAATGCTCCCTCTCCCGGATAAGTCACCCTTTAGGAACACTCCCAAATGGCTGTTTTGCGACTGCAGGGCTAAATTCATAAAAGGCAAATCCGCCCTCCCGAATAACTTTTATACTCAGAGATGATTTAGAACTCATGGGTACCTGCCGGCCTGGTTATGAGCAGAATTGGACCCAAAAATGGCATGAGCGCCTTTCGTTGGTGACCACTTTAGTATTACCGAACCATTAAGAACCGTTCCCAGTGCTTTTCCTCCCAATCGACTCTCTTCAGCTTGCTTCAGCACCAGCTGCTCGCCTTCTCTAGGAGGGTTCTTTGGTGCAGATTCGATACCTTAGGAGTCCAACATTTGTCTATCAACTACACTTTGGGAGCCATTGCTCAAGCTTCAAGGCACAAATGAAAATTGTCTCTGAGATTTGTCCTAGGACTAACCCGTGGTCCTGAAGGGTAACAGAAAGTAAAGAAAACAGACTGTAGGGCTTAGTAAGGGCCCAAAACTCGCCTAGTCAACGTGCACACCCGAAGGTGGACGAGATCTCAGACGAGTTATCGGGCCTACAGAGGCTGCACTGCACTATTCGCACCAAGAACCACATGTTTAACTTGCAATCAGCTAATCGCGAAAGCAATCCTGATGTATGACGACAGTAAAAGACATTTTTGCTTACTGTAGCCAGCCACACACTAGAGAGCTCGGCTCGTCCAAATATCCCTTCCATGCCGTTTCTCTCGTCTCCGTCCGAAACTGTCTCGATTCCAGTACCTCAGGACCCTGCTTAGAACTGCTCTGCTTTTGCACATCCCTCTCGATTACACTACTGATACTTTTTTCAGACAGTCGATCATATTCAGCGAAATATGGAAAGAAATCGAACGTTGGTGTCTCGATCGTCCTTGCCCTATTTCTCAATAGCCATTGAAGTTTTTAAACGATTCTGTTAAATACTAGACTGGACAAGTTTCACCTCAAAGGACAACCGGTCAGTGACTGCGATAATTTATCACATATGAAGAATAGAACTGGTTGGGAAACTTCTGGTAAACAGGCAAAAACCTATCATCAGTAGAACCTACAAATTGTTAATAGAAGAACATAAAAAGAACATAACGGGCTGTTCAAGGAACTTTTAAACATGTAGTACACTCACTTTTAAGAAATATGTTCGAGCAATTGCAAATCAGACGAACTAAGACGTTTTTTAAAGATTGCGCCACTCTTCCTTTTTGAAGTTGCGCTTCCCACTCAACTAATATACGAAAAAAGCCCGGTTCCTCTTCGCCCAGTGGTACTATCCCAAGTAAGTCTTTCTTGAGTGGTTGGTGCTGGAATCAGGGAGGGCTTGATAAGAAAGAGAGTAACCTCTTGCTATTGCACCACCTCACTGCGGGAATTCAGTGTCTCACTGAAGAATTCTGAGCGGGACCTCTGGGATGACGGGCCTGAAGGTTGCTGAGATATTTCGAACCAAGATCGAACTAGCTATCTTTGAAGGCTTGTCTTCCACAGAAAAATTCAAGTCTTCGCTTCTTTGGGAGAAAACCTAAGCTCCCGGAAGTTTTGTGGAAAATAGCTCGAATATTGTCCGACTCCAGAAGTCGTTTTGAGCTCATAGTCAAGTACCTCAGTTCGGATGAAGCCGAAAGCATAGCCTTCCCCAAGGCAGTTATAACCTTCAAAATTTTTGTTCATGCTCCAAACCGACCCATATTCTCCATATTTAACATAGTCAGCTCATAGTCAAGTATCTGATTGTGTTTGGAGACAACGGTAGGCTGTGATCTAACGCTATCCTATCAAGATCGCCACCAAGCGCTCGCTCGCTCCGGATATTACTGAAGGCTCAAAATGATGGCACAGAAGTAACCGTGACTGCATAGCTAACTAAGCCCAGGAGGATATTTCATGAGGAAACTCGTATTCATGAGCAAATTGGGATTTCGGAGCGTGAGCACATCTCAAAGACGATGTCGTCTACTCCAGTTTTTTACTAAGTTGTTTTTCCAAGAATTTCAGTCTTCTCTACTAGTATTGCAAAGCGCCAGAGCTGGCTTTCATTTCATAACAAAGACATTCATTCGCTGAATTGCAACGGCCTTTCTCTTGATTCCGGGGAAAGAAAGAAGCCGACTAATTATACACGCGCTCAAAGAATGTTCAGGATGTCAGACGTCTTATGATGTCATCAAATTGACATAGCTATTGCACATATTTCCAAATGAATTTAGTATTTTCAGAGATCATTCCATGGCAATGGTAAATACATATTAAGGCAGATTCCACCTGTACAGCATGTATGTAGTATGTAGTATGTTAGAAATAGAAAAAAACACTTAGTGATTGTGAAAGTGGAAGTGCTAAAACTGTAAAATTGATTGTTTTGTTTATTTGTTTTGCTGATAGCATATTTTTTAGAACCGAGCCTTTTACGTCTCTCAATTTCTCAAGTTTTAGGTTCACATTTTATGAAAAATTGCAGACTAAAATCAAATTCCAAAATTTTCCAAAATATATGAACTTCGAGCCAATTACATGGATCTCTATGTTGTTCATGTTTGTCCTCTGCCTTTATTCAGGCTTCAGAAGATAAAGCTCTACGACTTAATGAAATTTTCCGCAGCTCACCTTCCCCTAACAATTCTAGCAACCGAACTGAAAGGTCTGGTGCAGCAAATGTCTTAAATCCAAGTATGCCTACTTGAACGATCGTCGATCGCAGTCCAATGCACAGCTACAATTACTTGGGATTGCTTTTAGCTCTTAACAAAGCATAGCCTCCAATTATCCGAGTCCTTTCAATTAAAACTCACTTAACAAGAGCAACAAAATGTCTGAGAAAGCTGCATGGCTAGTTTAAAGCTCAATGCCCAAATCTTGGAAAAATGGATGTTTGATGGTGTTTCAGACCAAACTCGAATACACGGCGTATTCGTATGCAATTGGTGAGCTACCACACCCATCATCCCTCTCCTGCATTTCTCCTGATTCAAGCTTATTTAAAGCCAATCAACATCCACAATCTTGAAACCATACGGTTGGATAATTTTTGAATAAATCAACTTGAAAAAACCTAAGAAGGCAGACAGTGAGTAGAGATACCCCTACCATGCAATCAAATCAACCTTTTTAGTTCCCAATCCTTACCGAATCGTGCGGTTTCTAGAGAATGATGATTTTAATTAATGATCATGACTGACCCGTTTTCTTTGAGACCGTCTCCAGAGTGTGCTGAAGTTTCGACTGATTTCGTCCAGCAATTGCGAACGTCACACCCTATATGAAGTTATTTATGGTAATAAATTTATAGTTACTTACAATGTATTGAATAATAATAACTGTGACGGTTCCCAGTTGAGAAATAATGCTTTTACAGTCGATCTTTCACCTGGAGACCTTCGTAAGGGTCATTAACAGCGGGTAAAAAAGCAAAACGATTCAGCATGAGCACTAACCAATCCCCTCATGATAGAGGCAAGCATTCTAATCGTATTTTTACCAAAATAGCCTCCCAATACGCATATGGCCTACACTGAATTAATGGCTGACCAATAAATATTTCCGTTTTTTCAGGCTATCACATTTTTCTGCCATCAATTGTCCAGCTGCCATGGTCTTAGGCTTGGTTAGCCTAGCTGGAATTCCGTCATGAGGCTATGTATTTTTGTAATAACGACGCCAGATTTCACAGCCATATCTACCATCACCTGCTAGTAATCTTACAATTAGACATTTTTGAATACTGAATACGACTGATCCGGGAAGGCTTCCTTAGAGACTTGTACACCAGGGGCCTGTTATCGGGAATTTCTAGATGGTGCTAGACTACATAAGCTCGATGACACCGCGGCTTCAAAGAAGGAATTCTCAAAAACCTGGTTAGAGAGGTCTTTCCTAGAGCTCCAGACTTCAATTCTTTCTAGGGGATCGAATCGAACTGAATTCGACAACGTGGGAATAATGAGAACCTCGATGAGAAAGGTTGG